CCAACTAGTAAATCCGATGTAGGAGAGAGAGAGAGAGAGAATGAGAGAGATGTTCACCCAACGGTAACAACTTTAACTCAAAAATTCCCAGTCCAAATAAAATAGAACAAGAAAATACAATCAAAGTAAAAATAAAATAAAAAAAATCCAATGGTTGTCAAGTCGTGTAGGTTTGAGGACTGCCGAAGAGACGAAGATATACAACAACGGATCTGCCTGCTATAAAACCCAATCTGCGCCACCAACAAGGAATGACGACAGGCGATGGCGACCGACGGTCGAATACAAAGAAAAGGAATGTGTAGAGGGGAGTCGGCGAGAGGGAACCCGAATGAATGAATGTAGAGGGTCAAAATAATAATGATATGAAGAGGAAGACTTCGGAGATCGAGAGGGGAAGGCGAATAATAATAGTAAAAAAGAAAGAACTAAGAGATGGAGAGTATCAGTGAGCAAAGTGAGAGTGTGAGAGTGTGAGAGAGGCGCATGTACTGTATGTACGTATGTAAGTATGTATGAGTATGTATGGATGCCAATCGTATGGTCTCTTTTTCCGTTCTATTTGGAGAACTTCGCTCGCTCGCTCGACACTGACTGTCTTTCTCTCGCTCTTCTGCTTTTCGCCCGTTTGTCAGATCTTACAACCACCGCTGGGTGAACCAATCTGAATGGACGTTCTGGATTGCGACGACTCCAAAAAAGCAGCGAGGGGCCCGCTTTGTGTCGCCCGCCCCTGATATTACGGAGTAGGAGGAATTTGGATGGGGCGAGTAACAATGAAGGATGGAGCTGACAGTCCACGCGTGACAGCTGGGGTTGTCCTCGAAAGCCCCAGACTGGAACCACTTTTTTCTTCTTTTTGATTGTTATTCTTGGAATGCTATTCCTGCGTTTCTCTGCATAACCCAAGGGAAAGGCACCTGGTGGCTGTAAATCGATTCAAGGTGGATGGGGGTGGTGGTGGTGGTGAGGGAAAATGGGACCGTGGGGTTCTTGTTCTTGTTCTTGTTCCTGTTCTGTTCTGTATGCTGTATCCAAATTTCGTGGGTTCGTAGTGGCGGGAATTTTCAATCCTCCGACTGGGTTGATAATATGGATCCCTATTCTGCAAGATGTATGTACGGGGATGTATAGATCGCAAAGCAGGAAAGGGAGAAGCAGGGAGGTAGCTCTGGGAACTCCCAAAATAAGAGTCAAGCTAAGATCAAAATCAAGGAATAAGAAAAAGAAAAAAGAAAGAAAAAAAAAAAAAGAAGGATGGAAAAAGCGAACAAAAAGGCTGTACGTCGACTGTCAACTACTGTTAACACATCTGCAACATCCCAAGCACGTTGGATTGATTGGTGGTACGGTACCAGAGAACGGTAAGTAGTAATAAGTTAGTCACTGTATGGATCTACTCCGTCGGGTACAGTCAGTGTGGTTGGGTGGAGACGTGGGATCCGTTTGAAAAAACTCACATTATCGTATGGATGAACAACTTTTTTTTTTTTTTTCTCTTTTCCTTCTGGAAGGAAATCCATGAACTTTAAAAACTGGAAATCTTGGTTTCTTCAATCAAAAATTTCTTAGGGAAATTAAAGAGGCAAGAAATTGAAGACAAATCCGAGTGGGAAATCCAAAGAGCAAACATCCAAACCATAAAAAGAAAAAGAAAAAGCACATACTGAATAATGCCTCAAGAATCCAACCGAGACCGTTGCATGCCTAAAATTACCCTCGATTTTAGTGTTTTCCTTGACCAGACGGGAGAGTCTCCCCGTGGCTCCTGCTGCGTCAACTAAACCCACTAGTTTGATGTCGATACTCCCGATGCTGCCTTAGTCTGCTTCCCTCCAGCCCTGCTAGTTTCACTCGTCCTCGTACGCTCTTTAATTATTCCTTTCTTTTATTTTTTTTTTTTTGTTTTTTTTTTGTCCGAAAAAAGAAGAAAGGGGAAAAATAAGAAAAGAAAAAAAGGAAAAACAAGAAAAGAAAAGAAAAAATTAATAAAGACCAAGAAGTCCAACCGGCAATCCCTGGTATCAACGCGGTTGGGCAGCGGTCCTTGTCCCCGACATCTTACCTTGTTGGTTGACCGTCCAGGAAGTTTACCCTTTCCTTGTGAAATATTGGAACGAACGAACATACTAGAAAAGAAGGATCCGTACCAGTGTTGAAATCTCTGGACGCTAAGAACAAAAGGCATTGCGTACCGCGTGTTCAGATGGAGATCCCCATGTGGAATTGCCACACCCTCGGCAGCTTATTGGAGATGAACCAGACCTCAGTCAGCGGGGGTCAAGTTCCAAGTTGTGGTCCGTGTGTTCAGTCTTGAACTGCCATGGGTGACTTCTCCAAGTCTGTGCTTTCCCTCGGTTTCATTCATGGTATGTAATCTGTACATAACCCGTCAATGATCGAGGCAGTCAATATAATCCCGATAGATGCCCGAACAAAGAATGATGCTCGCAAAAGTCAACCCTGATCAATAGATTATATGATCGACACGTATCAGTCATGTGTGCCGACACTAGAGATTCTTATCTCTTTCTTTCAGCATCATAGTCGCCAATTAAGCTCACTTAGCCTCAGATTCTCCAACTCCCCCGTTCCTACCTATCATCCTTTCTTGGTTCCAAACCCTTTCGTTCCACTCTAAAACATCCTCCCGCATCTTTTTAACTTTCAGACGATGTAAGAGGATAACCTAAATTGGTGAGAAAGTGAAAATAAAGAAGAAAAAGGGAAATTAAGGTCCGGGATTGACGTCCGACATGAATCCGCACCATCTTCTCCATACAGCGTACAGCTGAAGATGCATACCGACTGGATCCCATCTCGATCTATCTTAGTCAGGACCCCTTGTCCAATCCTGTAGCCCAAAATAGTCCAACTGATGCAGGCCCAACCGGGTCGACTCCATACAGTTCTCGTAGGTCGCATGCATAGCTCCCTCCCAGCTCAAGCTTCGTCTATGCTTCCGATGCATGCCCTGAGTCATTCCGGCGATCAGTGCCCTTGCAGGGCGACTGCATACCGACCAGTTGGGTTGTTGGCTATGAAGGATTTTCCCCCTCGATCGTGGACACAAGAGCTGAGGACACAGCCCAGCCCCGTGGCCGTGGATCAGGATCTACATTTTACAAAGCTACTCGCGATACACTACCTATTTAATGATGTCAAGGCCTAACAGACTTTGTACTAGTGTGTCAAAACTGACCGACTCTACCAATCTCGAGGGAGTTTGCTGGTTTATCTCGGGACATCCAAGCTGAAAGGCAGGCGTTGGTCTCCTTCGACTGACCGCCAGGTACGAATCACTGACAAAGTACCATACAGGAGAAAATGTCTGAACAGGCCCCACTGGCTCCTTGACTAGTACGCCGAAGAAGGAGGTACTTGAATACTGAGCAGCGGTACAAACTTGATAGGTCCAATTTGGACGTCAGTTAACTCATCGCCTCGTGCGGCTGTCAGACCCATCCATCTCGACTTTTTTTTCACTTGGCATGACTCATGGGAGATCAAGCAAGTCGGGGAAATGGAATCGATGTATCATATAAATGAAATCGGATCGGAAAGCTCAGCCCTACCTTCACCAGCACATACCTTAAATTTTCAACTAGGTCAAGAGAAGAATAGACTCGACACTAGTAGCAGAATCTTTCGGTAGATGTCATTCTCAGTAAATCCGTGGGATTCAATCCAGGAAGGCACATACTCGGAGATCACTGAGAGCAAAGTGACTGCGTCGGAAACGATAATCCACCGACGTCGAAATGATTCTAGAACAAAATCAGACAATGCGTACATGCATCGACAAGGATCTGGCAGCTTACAGCCGACATATCCAGGTACGAACGTGCTGACAGTGGACGGATGTTGACTTGTCTTTCTCCAGAAGACGTCCTGGTAATTTCAGTCGACGGACTTTGCCCGACCATGTGGGCCGGACACGTTCGAGAACCTCGTTGCGGGTCCCCGGGTGTACTTCCAATGTTTGAGCACACCGTTGGTGAGAAACAGGGCGTGCAAAGACTAGGAATGTATAATTCAGAGACAAAGATAACAGTATCCGGTGTGTGTCTCACAAGGGAAAATAGTATCTTTCGTCCAGATCATTCCTCCTCCTCCTCCTCCCGGTACGGACAGACCTGAGCCTCGCGGCAAGGTCAATCGTGGCGTCTGCCGATGTTCTCGGGGACCCGACGGACCAAAATATTCGGCGGCCCACTCCCTCACCCGGTGGGGCCACCTCCACGGTCATCGATGAAAAGAGGCATTTAATCGATCTTATCATCTACCGGAGTACTGTCGTTGCTTACGGTCGGGAAGGTATACACGTAAATCGCCTAGCTATTAATTCTGATTGCTAAGAACTAATCAAATCCAATGCCAGATATCATTCGTTCCCTCCAGCTCCTGCCCAAAGAAAAACATTGCCTAGTCGAATTCAGCAACACTACCAACGCTTTTGCGGTCGAAATGGGTATAGATCTCCTGAAGCTGTAAAATATAGACGCAGGGGCGCTCCAAAAAGAAGAGTCGAACAATGAAAGATAGAAAAGAAAAGAGGGGGGAAAGAAAAGAAACCCAGAACGGGGGAAAAGAAAATGAGAACCACCAAGAGCAGATATGAAAAGTGGATATGGGGTGATTGACATGCCGTATCCCGATTGTGTGTCCTATGGGCCATTCAAGGATTTCATATCTGACCCTTGATGTCGACAATCCGATGAGCATCAGCCTTGGCGGTCTCGAAAAGCTGTGCGGCTTTCGCTCCGGTAAGCAGCCTCACCGCTCCATCTTTTTCCTGGAGCAAGTCCTCCGACGTATGGTCCAGGATGAAGTGTGCGCTCTGCTCGTCAGACTCGAAACCAAGTTCTTCAGTAATGAAACGGATGTTTACATCAGGCTTATAACTGTGATCAAGTAAGTGGTCAGCGTGCATATGGGAGGATCTCGACGGGCAATCACGTACGCTTTACAAATGGCTGTCAGCGCAGACAGTCGCTCTCGGTCCACGAACATGTCCATCAGGTAAGCTCCCATATTCGGGGTGTCCAGGTAGAGTTGAAAGAAACGGTGGTAATTGCCAAGCGCAAGAGCTGAGCGGACGTCTAAGGCATGTTTGACAGCAGGATCTCGCTTGTCTGCTGCTGTTAGATCGGCCAGGGCATCGTTCATGGCCGTCCAATTGCGGGTGTGGATGAAATACAGAATACGATACGCCTTGAACTCCGTAGGGTGGCCCCCAAGTTGCTGTGCGTACAGCGCGCGCAGCTGAGTCTGACACTGATTATACTCACCAAGATCTCCTTTTTCCAGCGCAATGCGCGCGTGAATCTCGTAGACACTGACAGTAAACTCATTCCTAATGTGCTGCACAGTCAAATCTTGCCGCAGCGACTTGAACTGATCGCATATATAGTTATAGTTGTTGTCTCTCTTCCACTTTTTCTTCAACAGATCCAGTGTCTTGACCAGGACCGGCAGAGGGCGGACGGTATCCGGGTTTGGCGCGGACGTCAGACGGAAATAGTTTTTCTCCAGATCCTGGCACCGTCCGACAACAGGGCCCTGGTTTGCACTAGGAGAGGGGGAATCATCGCGCGACGATGGCGAGGAACCATATCGAGCCCGTGGTTCCTCGAAGCGTTTTCTCCGCAGTTCCAGATTAGCTTTGGACTTACTTGTGTTCTTATGATCTATCCGTTGGCGTTTGTCTGTGGGGGAATAAGTGATTCGGTCTTCAAATGCATTGTGATTGTTAGTTTGTCTCCATGGTGGACAGCTGTTCGCGTCCCCGTTGTACTCAACCGACTTCCGTTTCCTCGACGAGGCGTCGGAGGAGCTCTCATACTTCTGGGCAGTAACAGCGCTCCAAGCCGGCACATTTGGGCTGGCCAGGATCCGGTTGCGCTCGTTCTGGACCATGACCTGGGGCAATGGCAGGCTTGCCCAATCAATTTTATCCAGTTTGTTATTCTCTGCGGCCTCAGTAATGACGGCCTTTAACTTCGATTCCATTTCCTCTCTGCTAACTGAGGACATTTGATGTTCCGGAGCAAAACTTCGTTGTACATACAAGCGAACTGGGGCTGGCCATTCTACTCGTTTGCGAGCGGCTTCGGTATCCGACGGCTGCGACGCTGGGGCTGGGGTGGGACTCGCCACGGCTGTATGGGCAAGGCTACGGCGTGCTTGAACTGGGATATACGCTGGGGTCGCTATCATACGGTTAACCAACCTTGGCCACATTGACCGGTGAGAGGGAAGCATACCATGTGTGGGATATGTTTGAGCGGTTGCGGTGGCTGACGCAGACACACGCCATGGTGGAATGCCCGAACTCATTATTGAGAAAGAAGTCTAAGCAAACAGGCAATAAAGAAGTGAGGAAAAGTTGATAGTTTGACTGTGTATAAAACTACGGGATTCTGATGTGACAGGGATATGCTCAGAACACTCCTACACAAGGGAAAGCTGGAGAAAGTGATAGAAGAGAGGAGGAAGGAAAAAAGGAAAAGAAAGGTGAAAAAAAGAAGAAGACGAAGTGTTTGCGTATAGGAAGACGCTGGGAAGGGAGCAAAGTACAGGGCGCCAGATGAAGATGTCGAGATGGAATATGAGGGACGAACGTTCCTTTTTCGCTTACGTTTCGTGGCGGAGATGCTTGGCGCGGATTGCCTTGACCGCCTTCTTTATCCGGCATCTGACATCAATACCTATCTGTACGATCTCCTCCACCGACAAGATAAGACATCCATAAGTCATTCGTTCACCTCTTTACAAGTTTTGAAGTCATAAGAGAGATGCTGGTCAATCTACTAAATGCTCTTCAAGCCTTTGGATCTCAGTACAGCACTACGTCCCTCGCTGTTACCCGATGAGACTCTACTCTTCGTTCAGGATGCGGTGGGGTTGTACGAGGGGTGAGTGACCGTGGGTTCCACCGGCCCTGTAGCTGTACTGATTGATATCTGTGCGAGTAGCAAATACAAGATCCCACATTATCAGGACGGCCATGCATACCTCACTTCCCACCGTGTTTGTTATGTTGCGGTGGAGGAGCCACGCAAACACTCCGTCGCTATCGACTTAAAAGATATTGATAGAGCTGAATATCAAGTATGAATATCTTACTCTTGGATTTCTAGTCCTGTCTAGTGCTTATCCATACCCAAATCTTAGGCAGGCTTCCTCAAATCTTCCCCCAAGGTTACACTGCACCCCAAACCACCCAAGAACAGCTCCGGTTCGAAAAACAACAGTCTATCAAGGTCGCAGTCTCCTCGGGTACAGAACTCCGCGCCATTAGTGAAACCATCAGCATCAACATTGGTGAATGCCACATGGATCTGCCCGATCTGCACGTTCTCCAATCCCATACCTTCAAACTTCGACCCGTCCACAGCGACGGCGACAAACATACCACCTTGTCTGGCTTGCGGTATCAAGCCCCCGTTCACAACGGTGTTAAAGGCGGCCATCGCCGCTGCGGCATCTTCCCACGAGGGGATTTCCATAAACTCAGCGCCTCAAGGCAGTGGTCAGGATACAGCACAGTCCCTGGTATCATGTCCAAGGTGCACCTTTGTGAATCATCCGTCTCTCCACGAGTGTGAAATATGCGGTGCTTCATTGTCGGGTTTGTTAGATATTCCCAACAGTAATCAGCATCGCGCCGAATCACCAGCACCACTTATCCAACTACAGGGCAGTATTAAGAACACTGAGATCTCGGACAACATCAAATTATCCTTCCGCGGAGGTGGCGAGAAGACTTTCTACGAGCGACTGAAAGGTGCATTGGTCCAGAGAAAGTGGCTGCTCTACAATGCCCCACCCGTCCCACAACAGCCATCGCCGAATTCAGCGTTACCCACGAATGGATTGGTGTCTACCCCAGCTCGGTCCCCCGCTCCCGGAATTGCAGGCCTAGAGCAACGGGGACTGGAAGCTCGCCGCAACAATGAGGTTGTGATTGGCAACGCATTCGAAGACCTCGAAGCACTTATGGCATCGGCGAAGCAAATCGTCACGATTGCGGAAACGCTGGCCAGAGAGTCAGGTATGGGTGATGAGACTTCAAGCGAAACCAGTGCGCTTCTCTCGGAATCAGCAGCAGCCTTGGGCATGGTTACGACGAAGGATATGCTGAGCTCGGGCTCGGAGAACCTATACCTCTCGGAGCTATCTCGTAATCTCGCTGAATACCTTACCGATGATACCAAGGGCATCCTGCAGAAGGAAGGTGGGATTATAAGTCTTATCGATCTTTGGGCCCTCTTCAATCGGTCCCGAAACGGGGTGGAGCTGGTGAGCCCTGCTGATTTCCAAAGGGCAGCCGAGTTGTGGGAATCGTTACGACTACCAGTCCGCTTGCGCCGATTCAAGAGCGGCTTGCTCGTTGTCCAGCGGTACGATTGGAGCGACGAGAAAACCATCCAACAGCTGCAAGACTGGCTCTTAGAGCTCCAACAGATTCCGCCAGCTGAACCTACATCGTGGGATTGGCGCCAGTTCGGGCGTGCGATTACCGCACAGGAGACAGCACAGCGGTTCAAATGGAGCGTGGGAGTTGCGGCAGAAGAGCTTGAAATGGCAGAGGATCGCGGCATCCTGTGTCGAGAGGAAGGAATCGAAGGCCTGAGGTTCTGGGGCAACCACATTACATCTCACGATCTTGACTCGAGTATCACGAATCTTGTTATTTAGCATGCGTATATAGAATTGGACCAGCACACGCGACGGATAGAATTCGTTTTAGTCATGAAATTGAACCCAAGGATAGAAGGGGCGGAACCAATTCCGCCAGCGACATGGAAGGACAATTTATTTCCGAATGTGCTCTCGACTCGGTCCAGGATCTGATCTCGAGTCTATGCCAGAGATAAGACCGAAGCTTCTCCACCATCTTCTAAACTCTTATCGCCTGCGGGGATCCTTCTCTTACTATACCAACCACCTCCCCTTCTCATTGGACCATAATTCCGTCTCGGAGTATGAACAAGTTACACATACATATGGAATGAGGAGGAAGAGAGGAGGAAGGAGTAACTATAAAGGGACATTCCTCCCTCGAATTCCATCTTCTTTCACCTCCACCACCTTCCACCATCACCATCTCCACACCAAGTAATCCATCCAACAACTTGAAACCATGTCCACCTGGCAAACGGAAGCCCTCAAAGCCAAAACCATCCTACAAAACTCCATTCCGACACAATGGCTTCTCCCCGAAGACAAACTACCCCCATCGGACCAGAAGAATGTCGCTGATTTCCCCAGATCCAGCGGACTGTTCACCAATAGAGAACTATCCATCACGGATATGTCCGCCACGGCCCTGGTTGCCGGTATGGGGGCTGGACTTCTAAGTGCCGAGGAGGTGGTGGTTGCGTTCCTGAAGAGGGCTGTTCTGGGACACCAATTGGTACGCATTATCCTACACATTATCTGCTGAGCTTCTATAGGATGTGCTGATGAGGACAGCTGAACTTTGCGACGGAGTTCATGGCAGACAAAGCCATTGCCAGGGCCAAAGAGCTGGACGCTTACTACCAGCGGACGGGGAAGTTAGTTGGACCCTTGGTATGTCTCCTCATGTCAGATACTACAATGAACTGAAGGTTAACATCCACAGCACGGAGTCCCAATCAGCGTGAAAGAGCATATCGGTATCAAGAACCTGACCTGCAATGGCGGCTACGTAGCATGGTAAGTTCACTACACATCGCAAAGAAACCCACTAACAAGCACAGGGTAAATGACATCGCGCCAGAGGATGCCCTAATACTACAATGTCTTCACAAAGCAGGCGCCATTTTTCACGTCCGGACAAATCAACCCCAGTCCCTCATGGTATGTACTGCCAGTTGCTCAGAAACTCAACACCCCTACCATATCTAACTACTATAGCACCTCTGCTGCAGCAACAACCTCACCGGCACCACGACAAACCCTTACAACCGCAACCTCACTCCGGGCGGCTCATCCGGTGGAGAAGGCGCATCAATGGGCTTCAAATGCGCCCCGCTAGGCATAGGCACGGATATCGGGGGTTCGATCCGAGCTCCCGCGGCCTTCTGCAATGCATATGGATTCAGGCCGACAATGCGACGGAACCCCTGCTCAGGGATTAAGGCACCCGAGCCCGGCCAGGAGGCCATCCTCGGTGTTGTGGGGCCTTTGGCGGCGCAGAGTCTGGATGATCTGGAGCTGTTCCAGAGAGTGGTTCTTGATGCGGAGCCGTGGGATATCGAGACCTCCCTGGTTCCTCTTCCGTGGAGGAGGGTGAAGGAAGACAGAGAGTTTACTGTGGGAATCATGTGGGATGACGGGTACACATCTTTCCCTTCTTCATTCTATCTTCAGATGTTTCAGCGCATAGAGATAACACCCTACTAACGAGCGAACAGAACGGTCCGTCCGCACCCTCCCATCATTCGAGCACTCAAAGCTGCCAAATCCAAACTCCAAGCAGCCGGCATCAAAGTCGTAGACTGGGAGCCATATAAACACGCCCACGGCTGGGATATAATCGTATGTCACCTTGTTACTTTCTCCTTACCTCCATCTACACTTCCCAAACATCCAAAAAAAAAAAAAAAAAAAAAAAAAACTCTGTTGCAATCCCAAAGGCTCGTTCACCAACCAAAAACGCAAACTAAAATAAATAAATGCAGTCAAAACTCTACTTCCCGGACACAGCAACCTCCCAAAAAACACTAATATCACAAACCAACGAACCAATCCTCCCACTAACAAAATGGGCCTTTTCCTACGCACACCCGACACCATTATCCATCGCCGAAGCATGGGCATTGAATGTCGCCCGCGATGAATACAGAGATGAATACCATGCGCGGATGAAAGCGACGGGGGTGGATTTCATTCTATGTCCGGCCTATGTGGGCGTTGCACCCGTTTTGTATGAGGCGCAATATTGGAATTATACGGCTGTGTGGAATGTTCTTGATCTGCCGGCGGTGGTGTTTCCTTCTGGGATGGTGGTTGAGGATGGGGATGTAGAGGGGAAGAAGAAGGATGGCTGGATGGAGAGGAATGAGGTGGAGGAGAGGGAATGGAGGAAGTGGTGGGTTGATCCTGGTCGGTTTGTAGGGGCTCCTGTGGGCTTGCAGGTTGTCGGGAAACATTTCAAGGATGAGGAGACTATCGCGGCGGCGAAGGTGGTTGAGGAGGTGGTTCGGGGGCTGGAAGGAAGGGCTAGATTGTGAATATCACAACTACTCAGAGCTTGATTGACCGGTGACCTGGTCTGGGTCATGCATACTGGTGAGATATGACTGTACATTGAATCATAAAGGCGAGTAATATACGGGTTCTCATGATTAGGAAAAGATCGTTGAAGAGGTGCATTTACATCATTATACCATAGATCCCATCATCAATCAGTACATACAAACCGTAACCGTAGGCATGAACAATATTTTCATCAAAAAAGGCAGAAAAGCATAGAAAACATAAATCATTTCCGCCAAAACATTACCTTCCCCGCCTGCTGTTTCATCCCCCATTTGGCCTCGGTGAACTTATCCCTAAACGTGCCGCCGCCGCCATACCGCACTGCGCTGCCGTTGACCGCACTGGAAGTCGCACTGCCAGTGCCATGAGCGAGGTTGCCCGCGTCGAACTTGGCTTTTCCTTTCACAATCTTCCGCACCACAAGCAGAATAGCGTATGTCGTCGAGCCGATCACACGAATCAACGCCAATCCGGTCACGGACCACAGGATGATGGCGAGATAGATGTTAGTGCCGCCCGAGTCCACTCCGTAGACCTCAGACACCGCCATGGCGAGAATCACGTTGGCAACCATCCAGATCGAGACCATGTAGGTACGGACCGCCCGGTAGTAGTCCTCCTGCAGCTGACTTTCCGAGACTGGGGGCTCGGGCACCTCCTCTCGATCACGAAGATTGCGCAGTGCTGCGTCGTAGCCACTGTCGATATCGAGCTGCTCGGATGGCATTTCGACTTCGACAATAGACCCGTTGATGATGCGCGCCGCACCCAGGTCGGTGTTGATCACATTATCTCCCTTCGTACCCCATGTGACATCGTGTGTATTACAAAACGCATAGACTTGCAGCGTGCAAATGTAGCTGGGCAAGAGGGCGAAGTACTGCGCCGACGACGTGAACATGTGCCACGGGTCCAGGTAGAGGAATGAGGAGAAGAAGTAGAGACCGACACTCGAAAGAAGTGACACCACGATGTTAATGAAGAGCCCGTCGCTTACGGGGAGATCAGAATCCCCTCCGGTTTTCGCGATCAGCTCCAGGATAACCAGGTAGAGCGTACAGAAAATAGTATAGACCATGATGATGCTATACACGATCATTCCCGAGAGATACAACTTCTTGGCTCTGCGAATAGTTAGCGAAGAACGGTCGTGCCATATGGATAGGATCACTCACCCTTGCGGACGGTTCCCCATGGAGATAATGAACTGCAAACACATGACCAATACGCAGGCATATCGCAGGATGATGAAGATCCATTTGCCCATGCCATGGCCGAAGGGATCAATCTTCGGGTCCGATAGTGATCCGGCGATGAAGAAGAACGCTAGGTAGAAGTTGGCCTGGCACATGTCAGTATTTAACCCCCATTCACACTTGAATCATAGACAACTCACTAATCCAAAATACGTGAAAAGGAGCTGGACAAATTGGTAGACGGCTTCGATCTGGAGGAGGATCTTTCGCGGCAGGGAATGGTCGGTCTTCCACAGCTGCTTTCCGTTGACGATGGAGTACACAGCGGCGAAGAAAGCACCGTTCAACCATCGTCTTCGTTGCGAGATGAACTCCGGAACACTGTCGGGAACGTCGGTTTCTCCCACCGCACTCTTAACGAATCGCAGGACCCATCTTTCTTCTCGCTTGGCCACCAGCTCCCAGCACAGGATACGATCTTCGGCGAGATACATGTTTGCCGTAAACACATCCGCATCCTGTCCATGTAGCGTCTCTCCCTTGAAGTACTGATTCAACGGCCCGTTGCCCTCGGCATCGTTCTGCAGCGCAAAAAAGCGATAGGCACTCAGCGCACCAGGCAGCACGGTAATGTATCCAAACACGGACTCCAGAGGCTTGTCCAAAATGTTCGACATCTTGTATTCGAAGTTTTGACTTGCAACCAGTGGATTCAATAGGCCCAGCATGCCCTTGCCTTTTCCTGCCTTGATCTCACCAGCGGCTCCGGCCACGTTTGAATCCTCATCGAACGCTTTCCACAAGTGGTAAATGGCAGTAGGCGAAGGCTTAGTGCCAACGTCTAGAAGGATACAGATATTCGGTTGGAGGGCACGACCGAAAGCGTTGAAGAACCAACGATGCGAGTTGAGCTTCTTTTTGTTATGTTCTTTCAAACAGAAGATAACCTGACACGGCATGATGCCCTTCTCGGCTCCCTTAAACTTCAGGTCGGAGTCGAGAGATACCTGGGTGGTATACTCGTAGACGTGTGCATTGACTTGCTTCTGGTTGACGACGTTCTTGGCGATGCCTTCCTGGTATACACCAAGAGCCGCCAGTGCGTTAAGGGTCCTCGGATGGACCTTTTTACGGCCGTCTGCAATAATACAAACCACGATCTTCTTCCAACTGTCTCTTCCCCAGTTTCGCGAATTCGAGCGGGAGCAAAGATGACTGATGTTTCGCATAACGCCGTGCATGGTCCGAGTAAAACAAATCTCGTCTTCGTTGTACATGGTCACACAGATAAACAGTTCCGTTTCACGCATGGTCGTACCGATCTGCTGTCGCAGTTTGTATCCTCGCTGCGTAAAGTCGTCGGGATCGCAGGTCACGGCGGTATACCTCATATGGGTAAATTCTCGGTCGTCTCGACGCGGCAAAAAGCTGTGGAGAATGGTCGGAATCTTGCACTCCAGGATCAGTTCACCGTTGACCAGCTGGACTTCTTTCTTGGTCATCTGGGCCTCGCGAACGCCTCGACGGCTCTGCTTCTCTGGGGCAGGTCCGTAATGCAGGTTCGGGTCCACCATTCCCGTCGCTTCGTCGTCCTCATCCAGATCAAACTTATTCATCGTTTCTTTTTCGTCCGTGATCACGGTCGATTCGCTCATGAAGGAATGCACACTGCTATGTTGGCCATGCCGGTGAATCGTCCTTCCGCCGCCACCGAACACATCGTCGTCCGGATCGCCAATGTCGATGCTCGTATCCTGCTCACCCATCGTAGATCGTGGAGCCGTGAACAACGGGGCTGGTGGCAACGGTCGTCGTGGACTGCCTCCATATCTCGAGCTCGGCGTACCCGGGCGTGGACTACCATTGAGGTCGGCTCGCTCATACTGCGAGCTCAAAACAGATGGGGGTCTTGGGGCCCTAGCCCACTCGCCGACGTGGTTGGGAGACCAAGGTCGGGTTGGGGAACCAGGGCGCGATGAGTACTCGGGCACATCTACTACCGACGTTGCGGGTGGCGGGATGTTCGGAGCGTTCCGCATGCTGGAAGCTGGTCGTGAAGGCGCATCCTCCGTTGCATACTGATAGTACCGGTTCGAAAATTGCCTCGGGTGGTGGTCTGTCCTATTACGAGGGATACGAGCGTTAAATCTCTTTCTTCTCTGTCGCGCCATTCTGGAAGACGCAGGTGAAATAATCCTCGGGATATAGTCTGAGACTCGTGTATAGAGCTCATAGACCTTTCCCAGCTATGAAAGACAACAGAGGGGCAATCGTGCATATATCGTCAGCTGTACGGGAACAAGGTATCTCAGTGGCTTTCCTTGTTTCCCCCAGCGGACGACTTGCAATGATTGCACCCAGAGTCATCATTGGCTCGATACAAAACAAGAGGGAGGAACCTGGGCAACCGAACCGTTGGGCCAGATTCCAACGAAGCCATTGGTATGCGGGCAGAACATGACAGGTGCATTACTTACGGAGAATCTTCGTCCTCTTCATACGCCTCGCCGTAGTGGTAGGCCGAGGTATTTCCCACGCTTTCCCTGAAGCCATCATCTATCGTTGTGGTGCTCGTAGGCAGTAGTCGCATGGTCGGCGCAGCATGACGAGGGGATTCGTGCTCGGAGATGTACGAACCTCCATAGCCGTATGCTGGAGGCTCCTCCTCGTTGTTCGGCGCCGCCGGATACATGTGCGACGAGTTGGGATTCATGATTACAGACGCTGCGGGATCAGTTTCTCATGATCAATGGATAGCTAGTGGGCGCGTGGGGGCTGGGGGCGTGTCTGTCGTGCAGAGATAGCACCCCGATCACAGGGCAACGTCAATTGGAGTCTGCAGCGATAACCTAGAATACGGGTACCAACAAGTCGTCAGTTCTGTGGGTCTGCAATGTACTTCACTCCAAATGGGGTTTCAAGAATGTAACTCACAGCAGGAGACTTTCTGGATCTTGTTCCAGGGTAGGTAAACAAACCAGGAATGTTTCAAGTCGCCACGACAAGACTCCTGAAATCACTATGAGGCAGTGTCTATATGCGAAGCTCTCTCCAAGATCTTAGATGGTGGTTCAATCGGCTGGGTGCTGGCTTGTTCATAAACAAACCACGATCGCGGTGCAGACGTCAATATCACACGCGTCGAAGGAGGGAGAAATTTAGTCAATTAAATCCAGGCCCCGTACCTGACGACCTCCCATGGATACCGGCCTGTTAGTCCGATCGCAATGAATGGAGCAACGTGGAGGCGCTGCCGTCGCCCAGGCAACGGGCGCTTGTAGGAGCCAAATCGTCAGCCGTCCTTGCAGTGGAGGTTGCAAAATATCCTCAGTGCCCTTTCCTCACCCCGAGACATTTGAAGACTAACGAGATTAATCCAAGTCAGTGTGTCTTCATTCCGTTGGTCCGTGTTTTGAGTGGCACTGGTCCAGATGTTCGATCGCATTAGACTGATGAAGTTGTACTACAAGACCAAAACAATCACGGGTGGAGCACCTGATTAGATTGAATTTATGCCTTAGCGGCGGCAGTGACCACAACTAAATAAAATAGATAAATAGATAAATAGATGGACAGATAGATAGATAAAAACAGCCTCTTGCGAAATCCACAAAAAACCAATCCAGCCTTCACCGACAATTATTACAATATTAATGGTTTGGGAGACGATCAATTTCCAGCACAAGACACAACAACAGAGTACATGAAATTCAAGTGGAACAAAAGAGTGGGGGTTCAAGGCTCCGTGCATCGTCCAATTCCAATCGCATCCACCTGATTTAAGACGAACAGAACAAAACTAAACAGGTCAATTTGGGGTACAGGTTTAGGTGACGCCTGACGGCACCGTCGTGGAAACAAGGGCTTGGTGGGTGACCCACCCTCAAGCCGCCGCCGCCGCTCCTCCTGACTGCTCGTTGAGCAACGGTTCGCGCTCCCGGTCAGCAGTTTCTGGGTGGGTGAGTCTGCGAAACAGAACGTCGCGGCCGGTATATTTAGTGCCCGTGATATAGAGCGACTCCGCCAGGAAGACCGCGAAGATTACAAAGGCAAAAATCCACTGCAGGGCGATGGTTTTGACGGCAATTTGTTTCAGTGCCAGTCCTGCATTTGGGGTCAGCCGTTCATCTATATACCAATCCTACGGGACGATGTATTACTCACCAAGAAACAAGAAACTCAAGCAGTAACCTAAGAGATCATCCTGTCCCACTGTAATATGAGTGGTCCCGATAACGAAGATCACCCAGATGAAGATATTGGCGACGATCCTCGCCGGCAACGAGTTGCTATGCACGGCGACAGCACCGTTCCAGAACAGCGCCATTAGCGTCCAGGCAAAGGGCCCCGCAATTGCGGACAAATGAACCAGCGGGGGCAATGCACGGTGTCTCCAGTAAGCCGTATGCTGGTTGACCAAGTGGGCCATCAGGATAATCTCGGAACCCCAGAAGTGGCCCCGAGTCCAGAGGAGGATCCAGGCGAAGATGAACAGGTTGTTCAGAATAAAATGCGCACCCACGTTGGCAGTCGCCGTCACGATCGAGGCATCTTTATGGAAAAGATGGTAGACATAACTGAGTTGGGAGATGAGGAGAAGGATCCTATGGCGATCGATATCCGTCAGTTTTATGTCTTTTATATTTCCGTGGAGGTTGGAACATATAACTAACTACTCCGACCCGGAGGAAATAGTACAGGAAAAAGAAAAAACCGAAGCGATAAAACGTACCAGTAAATCCCAGTAACCGTTGTGCTCTGGCTGAAAGGCGTGATATGGTGGTTGGCCTGGTTGAAGATGCCATGGCCGTGTTTGACATCGGCGGGGGCATGGATGGTATAGTAGATCCCGACCACCACCACCAGTAACCACGACAAAGGCACCAGCAAACGATAAGACCCCAGGGAATAGGATCCGTGCGACTCTTGTCGGGAAAATGGATTGTCTTGATCAGTGTGATATGGTTAGCAGGGGGTGGAAATGGCGGATGCCTTCTCCGGAACACGACTTACAAGAAGCCATCACCGTCTCTACTACTACTCACTGGGAGGAGATATGGATCACTACTGGTAATGTCGGATGGTATTAGTAGCAGTAGTATGTACGACGTGCGGGGGTAAGGAGGGATGAGAAAGGAGGTCTCAGAATAATATCACGGGGCGAAGGATTCAAAATATAAGAAAGTAGTAATAGGGTCACTGATAGTTACTAGTACGAAGTAGTCGTTGTAGTAAGAATAATAACTCCGTAGTCGTACCCCCGCATTTCATCAGATCTTCTGACGTTCACCCTCACCAAATGTCACCACTTTGACTACCTTAGTTCCTCACTTCTAGGTTTTAGGTTCAACCTTCTCACCACGCACTTGAACCGTTCTGGTATAGTTATTGTTCAGGTTCTTGCTCTGTCTCTCTTTCTGTCTTTCTTGTTTTTTGTTTCTCAGTTCTTTTGCATCTTCCATCTCAGCCATGATCGTATTGTATTTTTACACGTCGTTTTGACAAACATGGGTCATGACGTCATGGGCCTGGTCATGAAGAGATCATGCCATCATCAACAAAAGATCCAGGGAAAAAAAAAATTAGGGAAAATTAGGGAAAAATTCAGATCACTAAATACACGGTAAAAAAAATTAATAATAAATAAAAATAAAAAAAAAAAAATAAAGATATGCATAAACCCAAAACCCCACCTCAGTCGATCTCTACTTTCCAAATGTGGTGATAAATATGACCCGTCATGCTCTCTCCCTCATCTAGTGATTTATACTCGTACTAGCAAACTTTTCTGCGCGTCCCAAAACCAATAAAAAATTTTTTCTACACCGTCATACTGTAACTTGATGCAATAAGAAATAGAAATTAAGAAAAGTGCAAACATAATAGCCCCAACGTAAACTCCTTAGGGAATCAAATATTCTTTCTACATAATCTGCTTTACGGCTTCAACCAGCCGTCCGTGGATGGAGGCCGGCGCCACTATCATTCCATAACAACCGGCCAGGGTCCTGCCTAGGCCGCAGTCCACCGGATTGCCGGCAAGGTCGCTGACGATACAGCCTAGCTCCTGCACGATCAACATCCCCCCTGCATGATCCCACATTTTCGATCGATACGATGCGTTGCGTGGGATCTTGATCAATGTATTGCAGCCACCGACCGCAATGGCGACATATCGCAGCTGGGCCGCCCAAAGATCCGTCGTGTGTGGCCACGGCGCACCCAGGTGGGACGCAAGGCGTTCATGCGCCACAATGTTCGAGGAGGTGGCCGCCACGCAATCCACGAAGTCAAGATCCTTAGGGTCGGTAATCTGAGGCTTGGCATCAATGCGATTAGCCGGCAAGAGGGTCCCGGTCCCCATCTTCCGCATGAATGCACCGTGACCGGCAACGGCGAAGAGTTGATACCCAAACCCATCCCGGTCCACAATATCCTCGTGCATGCGGCCCGTTTCAAGGTTGAGATTCGGTCCCCCCAAGACGCCGAGCCTTTGGACCCCGTTCTCTACGAGTGCCAGGCAGACCGCGTACTGCTGTCCATTGATGAACGTTGCGGTGCCATCCACCGGGTCCAAAACCCACGAACGGTTCTCCCGGCTACAGCTGCCGCGGGCACCCAAATCAATTAAATCAAGCATCTCCTCCTTGCTCTTCGGGGAGTAAAGGAGCGCTTCACTCATCTCATCGTCAAGATGAATGGAGGAGACGAGTTCCCACGTACGCTCAAGCAAGGCCTCGTTCCCCCGAAGAGCCTTGGAGTCTTCTTCACCCACAATGTCATCGTCGGGGAAGGCCCGATGGATTGCCCCAATGATCAATGCTTGGGCAGCAAAGTCAGCAATGGTCACAGGGCTCGAGTCGCTTTTGTCCAAGGCCCCTTTGTCGACCGCGTCGAGCACCTTTTTCGTCAAAAGGGTAGCTCTTTGCACCGTTAGACAAGCAATCTCGAGCTCCTTCGTGTACGGGTGCATTGGCTCCATAATTCTAAGTCTCTACTACAATGAGTCCCTCAAAAGTGTAGGTCAAGGCCAGAATCAACTGTCCAGCAGTTCGGAAACAGTCGAAGTCTGTACCCAGAAACAATAGAATCCTGTGGGTATAGTGAATGCAAATCTCAGACACCACTGAGTGCCAATTCTATCTCAAAGCTTAGCGAGTCAGAACGGTGGGTATATTCTGGGAGCGTCTACCTAGTGATCGGTTTCTGAATCCAGACTCTCGAAAGGCAAAAAATTCCAGTCGAACTGACAGCTTTAGGTTGTCAATTGGGTAAAATCAACTCAATAGAAAAAGCCCGGGTTCCAATAATACGTATGATGCCTCCGAGGAGGCTCGGTGTGAAATGTAGTGGCGATGAATTGAGTCACTTGGAACCTTGCCCTGCGGTCGGCCAAGTTTGGTCTAGCGTTTTCTGTTTTGGGAATAGCGTCATCATGATCCGATCTTTTCTATCTGTGTACTGTACGGTATTGTATGATACATATATATCCACCTTCCCATATAGTGTAGAGCGTATACTTACTACCTACTCCTTACGCGACTTCCTTCTCGCCAAAGAATAGCGGTGTCTATCCAGCAGCTTCTAGACCCACGCCACTCTCATCGATCCACAACCCCTCAAGTCCCACCTAGTGCAAGATTTAATGAGGAAGGGCATCACCCGCATATAGCTCTGGCGAACTTGCCGACCGTCTCTTGGCCGCCGCATATAATCCTTCTTGCTTGAAGAAAAAGAAATTCTGGGACTGGAACTGCTCCGGATTTACGATCTCCAACTGTACATAATTAGATATATTTCGCAAATCTTTCAAGGGCACGGGAAGTATTGCAGACCTCGTAATGAAGCACAAGAGCAGAAGTGAGCTTCTTCAGCTCTAGCAGCGCAATGTTTTTCCCAAGGCACACTCGCCTCCCAGCGCCGAACTAGACAGTTTACCGTTACTCTTCATCCGTGTCGAGAATAGCATTATGAACTCACGCTTAGAAGAGTGTTCTCCATTTGTCGAGTGCGAGCTGGATCCTCGAGCCATCTTTCAGGTCTCCAGGCGTCCGCGTCTTCGCCGAATGTTGGCCGATGGCGGTTGATTACCCAAGGGTTCATACCGATCACTGTCCCACCGGGGAAAAAATGGCTGCCGATAGTCATCCCTTCTGCAGGAACAATTCGTTCGAAGGGAAGGCAGAATGGTGGATGTATCCGGAGTGCTTCGTTGACACAAGCATTGAGGTACGGTAATCCGGAAATCTCGTTCCATGCCGGGAACGGAGAAGACAGCTTCGACTGCTGCTGGGCTTGGACAAGTTCCTTGTGTAGGCGACGCATAGTCACTGGATGCAAGAGTAAGTTATGCCACAGTGTTTTCATGGCCACGGCGGTTGTGTCAGAGCCCGCAATCACGTTAGAGAATGACCACGCCGTCACAGCCCTGTCGGGTCAGTCAGGCTCGAACATCATTTCCACGACTCACTCACCAGGGCGGAATAGTATCGCTGTTCGACTGGATGTGCATAAACCGGGATAGAAAATCCCTTTCATTTACATTCTCCAACTTACTCTCGGTATTGTAGAGCTCCTCTCGTCGTTCGTTGATCCTTGACAGCACAACGTTCAAAATCGGCTGTGCTGGTGTAGCCCGAAATAGAGCGATAATGGGGTTCTTATTCCACACCAAATCAACCCATGGCATCTGCGTGACCTATTACAAGTTAGCTAGGCTTGTTCTATGGCTGCCATGGTTGTTCAAACTCACCGGTGCAGCAGCCTTCATAAAACCCCAAATAGCCGAAAGCAGACCAGTGTCATCTCGCCCCTTCTCTAGGAATCCATATCGCCGAGAGAAGGACATAGTCCCCATCACGTCAAATGCAAAATACTGCAACCAGTTTCCGAGATTGAAGGCCACCTGACCGGGAACGAATTGCTCCTCAAACTGGCGAAACAGGATCTCAAGAACCTGGTCAACGAAGGTCTCGAATGTCAGGATATTTGACAAGGAGTACAAGTGTGCAATAGGAGTCTTGAGTCTTTTATGAAGGGCTTCATCCCGGGTATTGAACACAAGCGGCAATGAGCGGCCTTTTCTGGTATATGGCATCATTGACCGGTAAAAATCACTCTTGGCAGACCCATCCACATCAGCACAAATGCCATCTCTTGATACACAAGCAAGGTGTTTGTATCTTACTCACCTTTGGAACCCCTGGGCGAATCGGATATACCAGCGAAATGACATCTGGGTCCGAGATAGATATCATACTTGGTCCTAATCGAACATATTGGCCATAGCGACTGTGTAAGTCCATATGGTGGTGGTGCGAGCGAGAAGTTTTAACCCACCAAAGCCTTCCTAGGTCCGTAAACCGTGCTACAAGCGGACCGGGAAAGTGCCTTAGCCTCCAATGCGTCCGGGCCACATAAAGACCAATGTAGAGGCATAATATTCCGATAAGTATCAACATAACGCTAGATCAGAAGAGTTTCATCGCTTTGAGTACGTTGGCCCCTGGAGATTTATCAGAGTCAACTTAAGAGGTCATTAGGAGTCCAGAAGAAGAACTCACTGTTTAGATTGGATGCACTTCCTTCCTACTCAGGCAACAGTCAGGAAAGCTTTGATGACCGAATGGCCATCGCTCCCCTTTAAAAGTAGGTGTGTCATCTATGGACAAAACATGGTGAGAAGTTGCAAGCAAAGTTTGAGTGGTGGAGACGAAACCAGACCAGAACAGAGTGAACTTGAGCGAGGCATACATAGCACATGACCCATGCATAACCTAACGGCTCCGTACTTCGTACTAGTGGTAGTGGTCCCTTTAGGTACAGACAACTAGTAAAAGTACCTCCTCCACATACTCCTCTCTTGATCGAACTATTAATTTAGATGTCTCACTGTACACGAAGTCTGCATTGCCCCTGTTCCGCTGCATAATACGGTAAGAATTCCCACGAATCTTTAGCTGAGGGAGATTCCTGGCCTCTGTTGTCAGGGTTCCTCATGCATAGACGAAATCGACTATCAGTGCCTCACTCTACAATAGTACAGGTGGTCCGTGCTCCTTTTCTTTGTTCCCCGTTGTCGTTTTTATCATCTGATTCTCCCTTCGTCGTCTTTTTTTCTGTTTCATTTTGCACAATTAATACATCATCGGTGGTCCTTTGCTGCCTGATCAAAATCGATTGCCCGCATACGCAACAAAGAAAGGATTATGCAGCTTAGGCCTAGCATAAAGTTCGAATCTAAAGGTCCCCTCAATAATTTGAAATTCCCTTCTCTTTTCACGTACTGATGCATACGCTAGGTGGTCCCCACCTAATGCTCCACGCTGATGGCTTTCAAACCGTCTAAACCCGAAATCGGTCAATGGCATCCTTCCCTAGGTATACAAGCGCTGCTAAGAGACCCGTTCGCGCGAGGATTATACCACTACTCCTCCGTGGCCTTTGGTGTGGATCTATGGCTGCCTGACACGTATCAGCGGAGCGTGGGTTTTGCAATCATATGAACCATGTACTACAACACTGCATAGCTGTCAGATAAGCCGATCATGACCGAGACATATCATGGCCCGAACACTTCCCTGAGTTACATGAAGGGCACGTCGCATCTGTTAGAACTTGTGCTTTATTCTATTTCCATCACCTTGCACTATCGATGTTCTCTTTATGCTTATGCTTGCTTCTCGTGGTGGCAGGCTAGCCTCCTGTTCTCCTTGCCTGCGTTGCTCACCGAGTAAGTGTCGGAAAAGGATGGCTAACTGTCGGTGAGATACGTTCAAACTGGTTTCAGGCGGCTCTCGGGAAAGATCAGTACTCGTGGTTTTCGCTTGGCTTTCAAATTTTGGTTCATATGACCTATAGCATGATAAACTGAAGGGACTCTAATGGTCCATTGACTATGTACTGACTATAGTTCTTTGTCTTGCCACTTTGGCTGCAGCCAGAGACAAAAGCAAACCTAAAGCTGCATGCATTCCCATGCATAGCGGTTTTTTATTCGTGCTGGGTAGGTCCGCCCTGATTCCAGGAGTCTATATCATGCGAACTTTAAGATAACTATGTACTCATGACTAGTGAATATCCTCGCACCAGGCGGCAAGGAGGCAGCAGCTTAACGATGCTAAAATCCGTTTGACACGAATTTTGTATATCTAGCCTGTAAATCTCTTGCACCGCTGAGCTGTGTTGGGTTCTCAACGCACACGACTCGGTCAAGGCTTACACCATATATAAAATGTTGCAAGAATAGTTCCACAACCCTTATCCAACGTTCCTTGCGCTCATCAATACGCGGTCCATCACCTAGGGCCATTACATTCAAACAAACACTAGCATCAGCCCAGGACATCCCTATATATATTTGGTTGGTTGAAGTTTGCAACGTCCTTTTGTTTCTAGGCTATATAACGGGAGTCGAGATGGAGACCAGCGTGAGAACTCATCCCGTCGGGTAAACGGGTCATATCAAGGACTAGTGTGCTGATACCTTCCAGGATTTTTCACACGATGTCGCGGTAGTGGGTATGGGATGTCGTCTACCCGGGAACAATAACACCCCTGAAGAACTGTGGCGGTCAATCCTCGAAAAAGTCGACGCTTCAAGTGAAATACCTAGTATGCGGTGGGAGCCATACCAGCGGAACGCACAGAACGCAAGGAGTATCGGTACATTGCCCCGTCGGGGCTATTTTGTGAAGAATTTGGAGAATTTTGACGCAAGCTTTTTCAGTATTTCGCCCAAGGAGGCGGAGCAGATGGATCCCCAACAGCGCCTTGCATTAGAAGTGACGTGGGAGGCGTTAGAGAATGCAGGTATTCCTTTGAGTAGCCTGTCCGGCTCCGACGCTGCTGTCTTCATGGGCGTGAATTCTGATGATTATGGAAAGCTGCTACTCGAAGACCTGCCCCACGTTGAGCCGTGGATGGGGATAGGGACCGCTTATTGTGGCGTTGCTAACCGAATATCTTACCATCTCAACCTGATGGGTCCAAGTTCTGCAGTAGATGCTGCTTGCGCATCTTCACTGGTCGCCATTCATTTGGGAAGACAGGCAATCTTGAGTGGAGAGTCCAAGGTCGCCATTGTAGGAGGAGTAAACGCTATTTTCGGTCCAGGTCTAACGAGTGTACTTGATAAAGCCGGTGCTTTATCCTCCGATGGCCGCTGCCACTCGTTTGATGACGCAGCCAGCGGTTACGGTCGTGGTGAAGGAGTCGCAGTGATTATTCTAAAGAATATGGCAGAAGCAGTCAAGGACGGTGACCACATCCTAGCTGCCCTGAAAGGGACAGCGGTTGCTCAGGATGGGCGCACAAATGGTATTATGGCCCCAAATCA